GTATATGTATACATATATTCTAGAAAAGAAAAACGATAGAGAGAGAGAGAGAGAGTGAGTGCAAGGAAATTCACAAGAGACTGTTTGTCTGCAAGAAAACCCAAACCACATCATCAGAAACTCATTCACACAAGTGCAAAAAGGAAAAAGACGATTGGAGATTGATGACACGAGAGTCATTTTCCCTATGTTGCAAAATTGTGCATTTTCATATAACTCACATCGAAAATAGTTGTAAGAGAAGTGTCTTCTTCGCCCAGAGATAAAGCGGGCACATTGGCAGAAAGAAAAGGGACATGAAGAGATGCTCGCAGAGTATTTTAATTAATGAATACGCGCGCGCAAATTTAATGCAAAACTACACTTTGACACACAGCCAAGCTGACGTCTTCGCCTTTATAGCTGAAGGTATACAAAAAGACCCATAATTCGCTCAGTGTGTTCTCGTCATGAGACAAGAACTTTGCAGATGAGATCTAATACGGAAGATGGATTGTGGCTGAAAATGGTATCATCTTATTTTCGAGCAGCAGAAAGCGCGCGAGTGTGTGTTTAGGAGGACACATGTGCCATCTAAGTGTGTTTCATGGTAAAATATGCTCTGAGGATCGGCACAGAGCATTTGGAACAACAAACTCTCAAATTGTGTGCAGAAAATCTCCCTTTATCATCACCCAAACTCGCCTTTAGTCGCCCAGGAAGAGGAGAAACACTGTAAATCACGACATTTGCAACGACAAAATGTAAAGAAAAAATGCGAAAAAGTTGCTTTTTACTATCAAAAACCGACTTTTTGTTCATTATTTCGTGAGTTTGTCTATCAATTCTTCACATTTCAGTTATTATTTCAATAACAAACCAGTGAAATCAACTGAAAGTTGTAGAAAATGATTAAAATTTACCAATATTATCAGTTTGAGTTTAAGGCAAAAATTATGGAAATTACTTCAAATCTTGTTTTTTGTTAGTTTTCGAAGCATTTCTCTACTGTTGGATGATGAAACTCTGTGAAGTCATACTTGCACTCCAGCACTATGCAAAGTCCTCAGCCTTCGCCCATGTTTTCGGGGTGGCAAAAGCAGTGTGAGAAAACAAGGAGTATTTTCACAATCTTACGAAATGTGAAGAACTTTCTTGGGATTGCCGAAGAGGTTGTTTACCATCGGAGGGAAATCGATTGAGAAAACAGCAAAGAGAGGGAGAGGAAATGGTCATCGTGGAGCGGATATAGGGAATCGATATGATTCCCAAGGGAAGCGACCAAGGCAAAAATTCCGTCTCGCCACAGACAATCCCAGACTCGCAGACTTCCAGTGAAAAAATAAGACACAACACCAATTCGTAGACAGGATTCCGCAAGAGTCATTATACATCTTCCACAAAAGACTCGACAAAACACATCCTTTTGAGAGTTTGTGCGTGGAAAGTTGGCCGGTCTGTCGACCTCTCCCTTCGGATGTGACCTGACAAAAGGCAATTCCTAGAATTTTGAACTCTGGCGTATCGCAAAAAACACTCAATCTTCAGAGGCCTCATCTTTTTTCCCTCTCTCTAGAGATGCTGACTCTCTTGGGATCCCAAAGACAATCACTCGACCAGAAAGACTTCTTCTACCTGAAAAAAAACACTGCCCAAAAACTGATATAGGCATATTTTTGCCGCCAGCAAGCATGAGAAAAGAGCCCAAATGTGTGAAGGAGATGCCAAATTGGGAAGAAAAACTCTTCCCACCTTCAGCTGTTGATCACTTTTTGGAAGAAGGCTGGGCAAATGGAAGGAATTTCAGCACAATACACACTCAACGAGATCTCCTCTCATCGCCGATGCCATTTAAGCGATTTCCCACCCAAGCGCTGCACTTGCCCTTGTGTCACTTTTGGGGTCACATTCACGTCTCAGGTGAATTTCTTGCATCTGCTGAGATTACCTTCCTCACCAATTGCTGCGCGATGCTTTCAATTTCGCTGGTGAATGTCTCGCCATTTCGCAACAGCACATCGGCGCACACACGCAAGTCAAAAAAGAGCGCCATTCAACTTTAAATTATATAGTGATCTTTTCGCCCAACGATCGTCATCCTCTTCACACACTCACAATTCAAAGAGACTCTCGAGAGGGAATTTTTAATGAAAATTTAATATGATGAAAAAAATATGGACGGCACAGAAGGGCAAAGAGAGGTGGACTGAGAGAAGATGAGATTCCATTCTGTGTGGAGTCTTTTTACAAATTTATGGTTGTTTTAATTTAAGTGCTTATATCTTTCTTTTTTACATGATTTAGTTCGATAGAGAGATTTATAGCGCTGTTCAAAGTTGGAATCCACTGTAAAACTGTCAGTAGTGTGTTTTCTAGGCAATAAAGATGGCTTTTCGAATTGTTGAATCCTCTTTCTTCCCAGCGAACCACAAAGGCCAGAAAAAAGCAGCTATTTTAGCTAAAAGCTGCTAATACAAAGTAAAGAAACGATAAGCGATCGCAACGGACGATTGAGGAAACTCAGTTGAGTTATAAACACTTCAATTTACTGCAAAAAGTTCAACAATTTTTTACAGAGCAATTTTCTTAATGTTTTTAGCTAAATATTTTGCTAAACTCAATGCTTTCTTCTGATCCAGATCTCAGTAAGGAAACATTGAGATGTTAGGCATTTTGTGTGAACGGCATTTCGGGCCGAGCCACCGCAGCGCCACTGTCGGCAGTGTGGCAAACTGCACATGTTCGGAGCCTCCGCAGCGCGCGATCAAGTGGATCCTCAGAGTGCCAGTGGCTGCTGTCTCTCACCGGATGACGCTCGCCGTCCAGTGCACAGAGTCGGGATCCCGTTAAGTCGGATCAGTGGCCGATGATTGTGCGCGATGATCACTGGCCGGGTGTGCGCGATGCACAGACACAGCGCGCGGTCAAATAAGGAAATTCTCCTGGACAAGAATGAGCGCCGTGAGGAAGATGCTGAAAAAATGTACGTGCGCTCAAGGATCGCAGCAATTTAATGGTTTGCGCTTCTTGTGCGTACAAGTAGCAGGTGATCAATAAAGCGACAAACCAGTTGAAAATACATTATTATCACTTGCGATCGCGCCAAACGAAAAACCCCAGCGATTCGACGGCGTTGCTCAATATTCCGATCGCAAGATCAACTTATGATCTTTTTTCCACACACAGATCGCCTGGTGATCAGCAAAATTATTATCGCCAAGAGTATTTAATTAAAAGTGCGATCAGCAATTTTGCCGATCATGTGTCGTCTCTCTCTCTCTCTCTCTCTCTCTGTCTTACGGCGAAGTCAATCTGTGCGCTAATGTGAAAATAAGTGAACCGAATAAATGGTTCCAAATACTTTTTCCCTCGATCATCACACTCGAGGCGATGCAGAAATACAAAATCCATCTCACACACATCGCGCTGTTTATCCACAGACTCAGTGAAGCGCGGTAAATTCTTCACGCAATCGTGAAACATGCCAGAAGATGAATTAATGGCAATATTATGGGGAGAGAGAGAAGAAAGCACAGAAGCGCACTTTTGACCAAGGCAAACCTCTCCTCTCTGCCCAGCTGGAATTATACCAATGTTAATCCAACTAGTGAGTGACTATTTTGCGGTTGCACGTACTTTAATTCCAATGCACCATCGCCACACTGTTCCTCACCTCTAACCACACGTTATTTTCGCTAATAATTTCACCATATAAATCCTCACTCTCTGCGCCGCCTTAGACGCCTCTCGCGCTCTCCTTCCTCCTCCTCCTCCTCCTCCTCCTCCTCCTCCTCCTCCTCAATCTCAATCTCCCAGACAAATATGTGCTCTCCAACTCACTGCAGAAGATGATCATGTGAGAAATTGAATTTCTGCGCTTCATACTTAACACACAGCGCAAAAAAAGCCTCTCATCTGTCAGAACAATCTCAAGGCAGCGTTGCATGAGATGGGAAATTGCACAGAAGAAACACACTTTTCTCGCCATCGTCAATTCTTCACACTTCTTGCAGACTATTTGCAGAAATCCGCGCAAGAGTAATTCGCCCAAGCCATGCGAGATCCGTGGAATGCGCGCGCCTCCAATGGACCCCAGAGAGACTGTCTTTCGCAATGCACACTTTCGCATTCACCGGCGAAATTGGATTGTTCTCAGAATTCACTAATTGGACATTTTGCCTCTTATCCGATTACCTCAAGGCGAATGGCCACTGGATTGAATGCCAAGGGTCATTGCGGCCAATAAAGTGTGGGTAGATGTCAACTTAGGGGTCGTTGCAACTTCTCACATTTCGTATTCTCACTTCGTAAAAGCTACGAATCCTGAAATTTCGCTATTCATAGCTTACATCGGCGACGTACGGATGAAATACTTTTCTTGCCTTCACGTGATAAGATATGTTGACTTCACCCTTTAACACTTTCATAAATATTATGAATCGAAGTTTCACAGATTCATAACTTTGACAACTTATTTTAAATGTTATGAAAGTAAAGTTGCAACGACCCTTTAATTCTCTAGGATGCATCAAACAGAGTTCAAAGAAACCATTTCAAAAGATCCAATTCATATATAATTAACATATTTAAATATAGAATGAAAAAATTGAGATACAAACTTCGTGTTTTTGGCTTCAAACTTCGACACTTCTGGAGTATCCACAGAATAACATTCTTGATTCCAAATCTTCTTACAACATTATGCAGAATATTGTGAGTCAATGAGAAACATTATTCGTTGTTCTTTCAATTCAACTCACTTTTCCCCATAATTTTCCAACTTTTCTTGCTTCTGTCTGAAACAAATAAGTAAAATCGTTCCCCTCTTTTTGTGTCTTGCATTTTATTAACAATCTGTATTAGTTTCTACAATGAGCGATGTTTTGGGAGCCCCAAAGAACTATTCTCAAAGATTTAACAATCCATTCCCGTTGGCAGTTTATAATGTATGAATCAAAATGCTTACTATAAGAGTGGACAAAAGTGATGATTTTAGGGGAAGAAATTTGCCACTGACTCACCTTTCTCTTGAGGCTCAGCGTCTCCCGTTGTGCGTTGATCATGGCCATTGTCTCCTGGTACTCGCGCTCCTTCAGCTCGTCCAGCATCTTCGTGTACTTGTCGCGGTTCTCCACGTCGAACGGCACGTGAATGTACGCCCGCCAGTTGCCCGAGTCGAAGCCCCAGTGGCACGTCTGCTCCTCCTGCTGCCCGTGCACGTGGCACACGAAGCGCTGCGGCGTGAACACACCGCCGCACTCCGTGCACTCGATGCACGACGGCTCCTTCAGCGAGTACATGTCCGGCGTGCAGATGCCCTCGGTCTTGCCGAAGCAGCGATGGTGCACGCGGAACGAGATGGCACCCTTGATCACGGGCCGGCGCTCCGCCCGGTGCAGCAGCGTGGAGCAGAGCCGCTCGGCGTTGGTGCGCGTGATCAGGCCCGAAAACTTCACATCCTCCGGCAGGATGTTGGCCGCCTTGAACTCGTTCAGCTGGTCGGCTGTGCACTGCGAGCAGAAGATCTGCAGCTTCTCGCACGTGCCGTTGATCTGCTCCAGCGAGAAGTTGGTCAGCACGTTGTTGAGGATCTGCGGCAGGCACAGGCGCATCTCGCCGCCGAGCAGGAAGCACCCGATGGGCTTCCCCTCCAGGATCGTCTCGTACAGCACGCCGCGCCCCGTGTCGGCCGAGCTGAGGATGGGCTGCGGCAGCTCGGGCGGCGGCGGCGCCATGGGCTCCTCCGCGGGCTCGGGCGTGGTGCGCTCCTTCTTCTGCGGATGCACCAGCGACAGCCCGGGGCCCTGCAGGCTCTTCGTCGCCTTGTCCTGGAACGTCTTGAGCACCGTTCGCAGCTGCGGCGTCACGTATTCACTCATCTTGTCACCCTGTTTGTCTCTCACTGTGTTCCCGATGTTGCACACTGTGTCACGCCGTCCGGGAATCACCACATAATTATCCTTTCACTTTTCTCTCTGTCACAATTTCGTCCTGTCGCCCTCGCGCGGGGATCGATTTTCTGCCACTCGCGACTGCGTCAGTGTGCGTAGCCCTGCACGGGCCCGCTGCGTCTGTGTGCGTGGCGGAAAGAAATGGCAACACACGGAGCGAGAGAACGATTTTAGTGGCTCAACAATAAAAAATAATGAATCGTCTGTCTGGTGCAGACTGTCGCGCTGAGAGTCTCACAAACTTCCAGTCCGATTGTTTGGCTGAGAGACGCGCTCTCTCCGCTCCGCTGATTCTTGTCTAGTCGATACAATCTGACGCGGCGACGAACGCACACAGCCACTTGTTTCGCTCTCACGTGTCTCCACACTCTCACTCGGGCCAGCCGGAGAGCGGCTCTCTCGCCCGACTTCGCGTGTGTGCGCCTCAATTATTTTGGCACTCGCCTCTGCCCTCTCGCTCTCGCCTACTTGTTGGCCTATGCACTCACACACTCGCGACCACACACTGACCGGGACGCCACCCGCGAAGCTGGCCCAGCGTCTCGGCCGCCCCTTGGCACTCGTCCAACCTAGAGATCCGCCGCCACTGCTCGCAGTGACGTCTCAGAGCCACCGACACCGCGCATTCACCATCTTCCCTCGCGATGCCCGCCAAATCGCAGAAGCTCCACTTCGCGCACACCAAACACTGTCACGACCGCGACGAGCCTCACTTGACCGCTTTGCTTGGGATTTTCTCACACCGCAGCGACCCGAACTCGCCTTTCCTACCAACAAAACATGTCTGCAATCACGGCGAGCTCCGACTGAACTCGACACTCGTCACCGCCGACTTCGAGGGGAATCTGCAGGCGCGCTCAGCGCCACCGCGACACGCGGAACTCTCCTGCCCATCCGCCGCGCCATCTGCCCAACAGCACTGGCGTGGCTGCGAAAGAGGGAAATTTACGAGTTCAAAGCAGACAAAATACCATAACGGTAGTGGCAAATATTAAGAGATTTTAAGTAAAGTTTCAGAATATTCATCTTCTTTCAAGGCTCGATCTTAAGGATCTCCAGACTTTTTAGAATAGCTTTTTGAATTACTAACAAAAAGGCCTTTTCTCTAAAGATAATTACAATTATCACTGAAATTAGAATCTGCAGCACAAAAGTTCGTATTATTTGCATGTCTTACGATAGCATTGGTTAGGCTTTCACTTTTCAAGAAGTGCGAAATTGGGTTCTTTGCCTTCCTTGAATTTCTTAAGCCGCTTAACCCAAGAAGGCTTGCACAAGGCTCAAACTCAAACCATCTTCATTCCCAAATTGTCGGCTCGTGAAAGCGTTTGCAAAATTCTGTGTTCGATCCTGTGGATTTTTCCATACAGAAGCTAATTTCGCTGATTTTTCTAATCACACAAATTTCGTGTTCTTATTCTTGCGTGGAGTGAAGAAGAGAAAATGAGTGTTGATAAGTGCAACATTTGTATGGAAGATTTCGAGGAAACTGGACATCACAGGGTCGCGTCCCTGAATTGTGGGCATATTTTCGGCCACTCTTGCATTCGATGGTGAGTTTAAGCTGTCTATTTTATCTATAAAATGCATAATTCATGTTTTTTGTCGAAGACCGTCCTTTTGGATGATATTTTAGAGAATTTTAGTAACACTCAGAGAAATTTCGGAGGCAAGAAAGCGGTCGTTGTTTTCTTCTCTCGGGCAATTTGGCCTGTTTAGGTATCTGAAAGTTTTCCAAGAATCACGTACCTGAAATTTTGCTTTGAACTTTACTTAACCCTTTGCAAAAATTTCCATCTATTAAGATTATTTTCCTCTTTTTCAGCTGGCTCAGTCCCAACATAACCGAAATGAATAACCAGAATTGTCCTCAGTGCAATTCAAGAGCTGATTCCAAAGATATTCATCTCATTCACGGTCTCTCCTTTGATAATCATCTCACAAAGCAAGAGTTCAAGAAGCTCCTGGAGCAGGAGCAATTGAAAGCGATCAATTTGTTCGATGAACTCACACAGCTGAAGTCAGAGAAGGAAGAACTGGAGAATATGATGACGAAAGTGGAGCAGCAGCCGCCACTAATTCAGTGCTTGATGAACGAAGTGAGACTTCTCACGGACGAACACCGGAAGCATTGGAAGGAATTGGCCACGCAGACTATTGACATGTGCAATCAGACGGAGGAATACAGGAAGAGATTCATTCGCCTGAAAATGCTGTTCGAAGAGGAGAAAAGGACCGTGGCCAGATTGCAGAATGAGAAGCGGACTCAGCAGTGCGTCCAAAGGTATCTCCAGCGCAGACTAATGGAATCTGAGCAACATTCAACATTGATGCGACAGGAGTTACGTGCCTTGACGAGAAACCAAACAAAGAGCGAATGGAGAGCCAGAGATTGGATACAAGGACAGATGGATTTGTCTGATTTCTTACTATTTGGCATCACTGTCTTGTTCCTCTTCTGTCTCATCGTTTATATCCAGTTTTTAAGGTTTTCCGACAAATTATAAACTTATGTTACTCATAAATCGATCGAAAGAAATTTTGTTCAACAATTTACTTCTTTAATGTTCTTTTCTTTTTTTTACCCACTTTTATAAGAAATAAAATTTAAAATTTCATTACTCTAAATTGTAAGTTGTGTGAACAAAAAGCGTTTATTAAAGAGTTCAATTACAATTACAGACAATTCTAGAAATAGAAATTTACTCAAATTCTTGTGACATTCAAATAAAGTTGCTCCTTAGGATGAATAATAAGGGATTTCTCGTCAAATTCCACCTTAGCCGGAGTCTTTTCGCACACTTCAACTCTGTAGTCCTTCAGAATAGTGTACAGAGCCAATTTCACCTGGAAAGTTCCGAATCTCCCTCCGATGCAGTTTCTGGGTCCGATTCCGAAAGACAAGTAGCTGTATTGGTCGATTGAGTCCTTGTTCTTGGGATTGAAGCGCTCGGGGATGAATTGTTCAGGATTGGGATAGTGATTCGGATCCCGATGAATGGGCAGCATTGGGATGTAAACTGGCATCCCGCGGGGAATCGCGAAGTGGTGATAAGGCTCCAATGAATACGATTTGGCGCCATTGGGTGGAGAGCAAATGCGATCCAGGAAGGGCAGAGAAGGATAAAGTCTGATGGTTTCTGTAAGAAAATATACGTTTAGTTGTTGGAAAACATGAAACTTCGCGAAAATACCATGAACGACCATCTGAAGATACTCCATTTCATTGAAAGTTTCGTACTTTGGATCTCCATACTTCTCAGCATAGCTCCTGATCTCCTTTCTCAGTTCATCCTGAATGTCCTGGTGGCGGGCAAGCTCGTAGAGAGCAAAGGATGTGGCCGAGGCTGATGTCTCGTATCCGGCAATCAGGAAGACGGCAGCCTGGGCAATGAGAGTGTCTCCTTTGAACAGCTCGGCGTCTTCCTCTCGCATTGTGATCAGGGCGTCGATCAGATCATTCCTCTTCACTCCGGTTCGCAGTCTCTCCTCCATCACGTAATTAATGGTGGATCTCATGAAGTTGTTTGTCTCCTTGGAGAAAAAGGAGAACCTGAGCAATGTGGCGAGTTCGGGAAGCAAAAAGCATCCTGTGAACTCCATAGCTCTTCTCCAGGTGAAGTCCGTCGCCCGTTTGGCGTGGATTCGAAACTCAGCTTCAGGATTGAGCAGACTGTTTGCCTTCACGCCGAAAGCGCAGATTGATATGGTGTCGGTTGAGAACAATCCAGCCAATTCCTTCATTTCGTACTCCTTCGGTTCCCTCCCAATCTCTGCGGACAGCTTCTGATCCAACACTGTGCACACTTCCAGCATCAAAGTGAAGAGATTCTTCAGTTTCCCGGTTGTAAAGACTGGCGAAACCTTCATTCTCAGGTTCTTCCAGTGAGTGCCTTTTGCCGAGAATAAATTCTCCCGACCAATGCCGTCCTCGTGGGGATCAGAGGAGATTCTTCTGTCCACGAAGTACTGGAAATCCTTCACCAGAACATTCTTAATGATCTCTGGATGGCGAATTATGAGGCTGGGCTTGTGGAAGAAGTACACGCCCGTGATAGGATCGTCCTTGCACTTGTCGTTGTTGTACAATTCCATCAAAAACTCCCCGAAATTCTTGCGAAACAGTATCGTGTCCTTCAAAACCCCAATCAAAGGATATCCTGGGATGTAAGAGACTCCATTCTTTTCCCAAAAATTCCTCGAAGATCTTTGCCACCACCACAAAAATCCCACAATGCAGATCAGAAGACCCAAAATCACTTCCACGACGAGCATCTTGACTCGCGAATGTCTGATCAGAGACTGAAGACAAATTGCGCGCACTGCTTAATCTCCTTTTATTTTTATCTGACCATAAAAAATTAGCAGATTTCATATAATTGTCAAAACAAAACGAATTTTTAAAAAAAATTCGCGTGTATTCTTTTTTCTTGGAAGAGTTATCTGACTTTAAAACAGTAACAAAAGTAATATTTCTGTAAATAATCTTAGTTGTTCTTTAAAAAACACACATTTTGCGATAAGGAAATTTCACTGTCACTGTTTATACATATGAATTTGTAGGGCAACCGTGGTGCAGTAAGCAGAGCGGAGGACTGATAATGCCACGGTCATGTGTTCGATCCCCTATCACTCGCTAACAGACGATCCACCACAGCAAATGCGAAAAATATTAAGCCTTTCAACGACAAAAATGTCAATAGAAGCAGTCTAGAAAAAGGTTGCTGTTAAATGTTCCACTTGAATTAAACACTTCACTGGAATTGTGTTTCAAAAGCATTTAAAGCCTTTCAGTCTCTGAATGACTGTTTGACTTGAATAGCCTTGCCTCTGAGTGGTAAATTCAAAGGATATATAAGGGAAAAGCGGAATCTGAGCCCCGGAATCGTAAGAGCAACGCCGGCACCTACGTGTAATCTTATATGTAATTATGGTATTTACTTTACTTCTTCGTGTTCTTTCTCAAAGTCATAATAATAATAATAATATACATTGCAGAATTATACATGCAAAGTGCCAAATTAGGGATTTTTAAGAAGGGAAATTTAAAATTTTAGGATTTCTTTTAAGATTATAACAAATAACAACGTAAAAAATGTTTGCTTATTGTCACTTTAACTATCAGACATTCATCTTCACACTGAATCCTAAATCGCTAAAGTTACAAAACACATTTGTACCTATTTTAACACATATTACACAACAAAAATATCGTTTTTTGATATGATCTTTTAGAAAAAATTATTAAAATATTCATCTGAGTTGCAAAGAAATCTACAAACGTTCAGAATGAGAGGGAAGTCTAATAACATTTTTATAAATAATTTCACTCAGAGTTCAAGGGTCACGATTTGTTCTTTTATGTGAAGAAAGAACATTGATAACTGAGCTTAAGTATCGCATCTTGACTCGCGAATGTCTGGTCAGAGACTAAAAGTGACAATTCATTTGCAATTGACTCGTGTTCAGTGCATTCACGGTCTTTAAAGTGTTTCACCAACCAATCACAATCAATATTCCAATAGTTCAATGTTTTTCGCACTGTAGAATTTTCTACTCACATGTTGCACCAAGAGAGAAGTTGCTCGCTAGTTGAGACCATTAACTTTGTGATTATTCAATCATTTTTTTGATTATTTGTATTTATTATTCAAATTTTGATTATTTCATCCAAATTCTGATTATTTTTTGATTATTTGTGATTTTTATTCAAATTCTGATTATTTTTTGATTATTTTCTGAATATTTAATTAAAAATTGATTATTTCATACAAATTCTAATTATTTTTAAATTATTTCCTGAATATTTAAATTAAATTTGAATATAATTGAACAAGTATTGCACTGTATGTCTCAATTCGATTAAGAATCATTTTATATTTGCATATTCTGATGTCCATGACATTTTTGATTCGTTGCAATTGTAGTTTTAATCTACAAAAGAGTAAAGCAACGAATTGCAGAAATCTCATTACTTTTTAAATACTGAGAGCGCCTAAAGCCATTCTAAGTTTCAATATACGTTTCATTTGAATCCACTGCAAATTAGCAATTGAAAGGATTTATAGGGAAATTAGGGCAAAGAGATGATTGTCACAAGTACAGAAAATAAATAGAATACGTGCATATTTTAAATGTTTTCTCACATGTCGGGATTTTTTCCAGAATTTCCCTTGGAACCTCAGTGGCACAACATTAATACCTTCTGAAGGGTGCGGAATTTTGAGTCCTGAACGCCGATTAATGTTTTATCAGGGATCGATTTCAATTTCGGAGGTAATCCCGAGATTTCGGGTCAGACCAAGGGTCGCCGTGCCGGAGTTGCTTGTGAGAAAGGTGATGTGAGAGGCGCTGGCAGAGGTCAAATGTCCTCCGGAGGTCCCTTCTGCATGGGATCAATATCACCTTTCACGCCGCACTTTCAGGTAGCCGAAGCGACACATGGAATCATGTGTGATTTGCAACACTCTCGCTTCTTTGTGTGCGCCAGTGAATGGCGCTGCACTTGCCGTGCGACGATTTCCATGTGCATCTCAATGAATTATGCACTGGCCCGTGAAGGGATCGTCAGTCTGGGTGTGTGTGTTCGCCCGAGGGATGCAAATACTATCATCTGTTGGCTATTGAACTCGCATCGATTGAATACTATCGATGGGCGAAAAAAGGGTCGCTTTTGGCTTGGCCATTTAAAATGCAGACATGGGAGCGTCGCGGGGACATTTAACTGACAGCTGGTAGGAAGAAAAAGGAGCGACGGGAAAAGGCGGGAAAATAGGATGAAAAATGAAGAACGCCGCGCACAGAAAGGGTGATATTGAAGCTTCTTGTGAAAGGGCAATTTCGCCTAAATTGTCGTCTCAAAATACATCCGATGGAAGAAAAAAAAAGTCCGTTGCGTGTTTTGCCGTGAGAACTTTAAATTTTTGCCAGAGAAACCCTTTAAAAAGAAATTCGCCAAAATGATGAAAAGAAGTTCACAACCCCTTTTCCACCACACACTGGCATCTTTCATTAGGTCGCAAATTTCACCTTTTTCCGGGACCCTCACCCCATTTTTGGCTGAGCGTCGGGCGCGCAAAAAAGGGGCATTTTGAGAGAAATTTCGGCAATTTACAGTTTGAACTCTTAAGTAACATTTAACATTGTGTCGACTCATCTCAATTTTCAGATGTGGCATTCTGCTGAACCCTTCCCACAGGCGTCCCCTGAACACTTGGCCCATCATCATCGCTCACCGAGGATGATACGAAGACGGAAAGGAAGGAGCAGCAAAAAATTGAGCGTATTTTATTGATTTTTGCTTTTTTTTCCTCCTCTCATCATAAAAGTTTTTAGGTTTGGGGTGCAGCCAAAATAGGTTGGCTTCGACTTTTTGTCCCGAACTCCGCGCGTTCTCTCTATTTTACATTTTTCATCATCATATCCATCCCTTGTGCTGTGCATTTTGGCCTCTCTCTCTCTCTCCCACACTCACACACTCGCCAATTCGCCATTCGCGGCCTGATGTGTGAGTGGAAAATTTCACCCTTCAGAGTTCAAAGGGAAAAAAAGAGTGGAAATAAAGGAGTGTGTAGGAGAAAAGAGGGTGGATTCGGGAAGGCAGGAAAAAATTTGATCGCCAAAGTGAGATAGAAGACTCAGTTTCGTTTTTTTTCCGTTTTCCACCGTGATTCTTCACAGAATTCACAACTCATGTATTCATTCGCGAGCATTACAAGTGAGTCAATAAATTCTTTTTTTAATGTGTGCGACGTTTGTACATTTTATTGTCATTGTGCAATGCTACAAAAAAAAAGAAATAAAAAATTAAATAAAACTTTTTACATAGTTTTTATTACGGATCTGTTATTATTTACCTAAATTTAAACTTGTTTTCTAGAAATTGTCTTTTTCGCTGGAAAATAAGAAAACAAAAAACAGTACTTCAATGACATATTTTGATGAATAAATTACGCACTTTACATTTCTTTTTTAATTTCAAATTCAGTAACAATGAATCCCAGTTCTTGTGAAGCAATAATCTTATATGGTTTGCCATAGGTTTATTTTTCGTTTTTTATTCCTGGCTCTTCGGTCCCTTCTTTGGATAGAAGAGGATTCTCTCTCCTTGTGGCACATTTAGGGCGAAGGGATTTCTCCCTCTGGGAATATTAACCCTTTTCGATGCTGGGTTGTTATTTTTTTTTGTATATTTTCCAAAAAGGTGAAACCCTAGGTTCAAAAGATATTTTTGAAAGAGGTAAAAAAAGAAGAAGGAATACAATTCTTCGACCCCATTTAATCTCTCTCTCAAAAGGGGTTAAGAAAGGAGACGCGAACATTCAGGGCATGTGAAGACCTTTTCAGTGGTAATAATTTTTTTTTCTTACGATTTCTCGGTGTCACCTTGACAGATGTTGCTAATGAGAATATTTGAAAATATCGATTTTCTCCGCGCGTCGCTATTTCCTTTTCAAAAATAGACACTTTCCCGCGCCGAGAGCGGGACAGAGAGACGAAGCTCGGGCGCCTTTTTTTGGAGAAAAACTATGAAAAATTCTCAGCGGGAGAGAGAGCACCGAAGCCCACCCCGCGGCCCCATAAAAAACGCATTCTCAATTGAGCGCTGTGATGTAATACGGGGAGGAAAGTTACATGGTCGCCGGAGTGAGTGAGACAAGTGGCGAAATTGCGGAAAATTTCAAAGGTGCAAGCGAGAGGGATGCATCATCGCCCCGTCTCGGTCACTCTACCAGTTCGGACCGCGCGCGCGAGTGTGTGAGTGTCAAAACAGCGCGCTCGCATGGTGTTCGCGCGACGGCCGAAGAGCGGCCGCGAGTGTGTGCGTGGTGGGACCGACTCTTCGGATGGTGTTCGCCTGACAAGTCGCTCACAAACACTTCATTCGACATTCAGACATTTCGAAAAATTGTTGAAGAGCTCGCGCGGAGCACAGTGATACCAAAAAGACTTTACAAGCTCTCAAGCAATCTCAGCACTTGCTCTAATTGCATGGGGCACATCCGATCGGCGATATTGGTCCGTTCTCCACCGAGTAATTCCCGCAAATTGCATTTAACTAGTGTCGTGTTAGCGTAGGAAAAATCACTAAGAACTTAAGTGAGTAAGAAAAAAACACTGTAATTGTTCTGAGAGTGTGTGTGAGTGAGTGCGCGACTAGAGATACTTTTTGCCCCCTTAAGTATAAATAATCTAATCTTTTTTCTTCTCCGCCGAGAAGAAAAAGAACCAAGTAAAAGAATAGGAGAAAGAACGGGAAAAAGGTCAGGAGAGAAGAAGCTGGAATTTGTGCGTTCTCTTGTTGGACTTGTCTGGTGGAGCAGTCTTAGAAGATTCTCAGAGGAGAACTTCGCCCCCCAAAATTAACCACAGCAAAAAGGCGTGAATGTCACGAAAAATCTTCCATAAGAAACACATATAAGTAAGAATTCTATTGAAAATAACTGGTGAATGATCAAAACAAGTGTATAAAGGTGTGTGTGTGTGATTCGCATACAAGCGCAACAGAGAGTTCTTGAGGTAAGAAAAACCAAAAATTCCCCTCCCAAATTGCCTTCAATATCAACTTCAGTGAATTCTTGAGGACTTTCCGCGCGGAGGGAGGACAAGTCCCCCACCCAGGTCATTAAGACTGTCCGTTTGGAGCATCACCACCGAGATTAATCCCCTTTTCCAGTGACGTAGTAGTGCAGTGGCGAAACTCCTGGGAAAATCTTACAGTGAAGATTGGTTAAGGGAGTTATGCCTCTACGTATACTATAATGTTAAATTGAGCATAAAGAACTGAGCACTAGGAACTGAGCACAGATTTTTAAAGTCCTTTTTCCTCTTGACTGTGGAGTTAAAATGGTTCAAATCGAAAGGCCGTGATTTAATTTGTAATGACGGGCACGAATTGGTTTTTATGTCTTAAAAAGCACACAAAATTTAAGCAAATTGAGCCACAATTTCGTCGTATCGCGATATTACACATTAAAAACTGATTTTTTAATATAAATATTGAAACAACTATACTGTTTTTTTCTGGAAAAAAGTTTATAAAAATCTTAGGAAGTAATTCTACTGTTGGAGTGTCTATAAGTTCTTCCCAATAGCGACACTTATTAAAAAGATCTTATTTATAATGTTGACAGTTATTAAAAATTCTAATTTTCTACACAAAAAACTTGGTTTGAGCCTTTTAACGATTTTGTTTATTTGTTCTTACGCTAGTCACTGTCTTTACACAGCTAGAAAGTTCGCTACAACATCATAAATATCGTGGATTTGTCGAACAAACTTAAAATTCTGGCTCATCTATGGGCAAATCCGTATTGAACATGAATTGAGCAGCCTGAAGTGATCGATGTTAGCGAAAACAATCGCGCTCGCTGCGCCACTGGCGGTTGACTTGAGGCGCTGATGAGCAGAAATCTCTCTGCCGGTTCGGAAAAACGGAGATAAAAAGCGTGTTGAGAATTCTTTTCCGGAAATTAATTAACTAACCCCATCTTTCCACACACAACTCTCTCGAGAGGCGGCAGCAATCGCGAGAGAGCCAATACAAACGTGCCAGAGTGCACTGAGGAGAAAAAACACCGTCATCTCCACGATAGTTTTTCACAATTGAGAGAGGATGGGTTTTATATACGTCCATTAAGAGATTTTTATTATTAACGCATTTAATCACTTTATATTATTTTTGTTTTTACAACACAGCCGACCCAGTGTGAGTTGAATATTGTGCGATTGTGTGTTGTGTCGGTTGAGTGTTTGAGGTTTTGTAGTCCGCGCGCGCGTTTTTTTGCCTGCAAGACACTTTCTAGGCCATATAAAATAACATTTTAATGTATATATAAAAATAATGAATTAGCAGAGTAGTTGGAAATATGGGAGAGCGAGAGAGAGAGAGAAAAGTGTGTATGAAATCGGGCTCTGGGAAGGTGTTTTCATACATATATGAAGTGCTGTAGGGAAAAAAGAGTGCCGCAAGTGAAGTGCACATTTAGAGAAAATGATTGCACACAGAGAGAGAGACAAACATTTGCGCGTCGCAAAAGTGCGAGAAGAATATCGTGGACAAAAAAACGGCGACTGCAAATTGCAATTTCCAGTGGCTTTTTGCTCTTTTCTGCACTTGGACGTTTTTTGTAATATCGCGCATTTTCTTCTCTCCACACAACTTCGTTTTCTTCTTTCTATTGATCACCCTTTCCGCCCGTGTGCCCCGTTTCCATTGCACTGTACATACACACACACAGCGGGGAGTTTTTGAGCTTGAGAATGCGGAGAGATGCGGGGTTTTGTAGAAAAGTTGCGGATTTTGCAATTTACTTCTTGTGCGCTCCATGGAAAAATTCTCTCGCGCGGACGCGCGCGCTCTCCCATAAGTTTTTTTTTTCTTCTGTTGTTTGGTGTCGATGTAGAAGAGATAAGTCGACTAAGCAATGTAAGAATAGCGAAAAATTTATTGAGAAAAAAGCACACAGAGACAGAGAGAGAGAGAGAATGTGAAAAGGTATTGCGAGCGAGCAAGGAAAAAACACATGAAACTTTTTTAAACTTCAATGCTCCACATGAAGTTGATGGTTTTTTTTCATTCTTCTCTCCCTCTCTCTCTCTCCTTTTCAGTTGGGCTCCATTTGGAATTTTTCATGTTTTTTCCACTTCTTCATTCTCTTGTCTCTGTTGTGCCCAATGTTCTCTTTTCTTTTTCCCTCCCAATCGCCCTGAAATGGACTTTTTTTCTACTTAACTTTTGACTTCTCTTTTTCGAGGAAACAGAAAAAGCCCAAAAACGCCACGAGAAAAACCGTCTCTATATGTGAAACTCTAACCAACAAAATTCGGTCTGTGTGTTCTCCATAAAACCCCTCTAATGTACGATAAAAAGACTGACATGACAAAAAAATGCCTTATAAAGCATGGTCATTGGGCGGTGGGGGGAAAAAACGACACATCGAAAAATTACGACGCACAACTAATCAAAAAAAATTTGTCTCTCCGCGCGTTCTATCTTTTTGAGACTATGAGTTGTGATAAATAATTTTTTCCAAGAAACACAGCCCACAAACAACCGAAATATAAGCGACAAAAGATAGGCGAAAACAGCGAATGGCAATTTTGAAAATAGCCAAAACAACACACGCGCGCGCAAAAGGGGGAAAAACAATTTACGAAAAAAAAATTTTCCAATTCAAAGTAGAACGGAAGAGTAAATAATTCACTTTTATTGGGGCTGTTTGGGTCCGCGTCTCAGTGGATTTTGTGACGCGGCGGGGACTGTGCTAATGTGGAGTGAAGGAATGATTGTGCGTTGTGCAAAAGTGAGAATTTTCCCTACGCAACAGCATTCACTCATGGGCGCACAGCGGATGCGAGCGATATTAGTTCTTTTAATTGAAAATCAAGCTTAGATTTTAACCCCGTGCAGAGCGTTTTACATAGCGGTCTCTGAATGTTGATTAACTCCGACTTTTTGCACATGGAAATGATCTTGACATCAATGTGGAAAATAATTAAAAATTTGTTGCAGAAAAAAGTGAGCAAAGCCAAAAGCAAAGAATGTGGAAAAATGTTATAAAGAAAAATTCATTCTGAGACCTTCTCAACATTGTCGGTTTTGCACTGCTTTGAGCGGAAATTTTCATTAATCTTCAGATACATGACTTATTAAACCCTTTGCCAATACCATTCTTCTGTTGTCATCTTTGGGAAATGGGGAAAACCAATGATAATGAGTGGCTGAAATGAGAAAGAAGAGATTCTTCTGCTGCACATTGTGTGCAGAAACAGCGAAAAATGCGGATTTTGACATCTGACGCGAGAAAAACTAACTATTTTGAGCAACTAAGGATGCTTTTTGAGACATGAAAGCCAATTCGTGCTCGTCATTACTAATTAAGTCACAAATAATACGAAATACGACTGAAAATCTGTGCTCAGTTAATCGAAAAGCAATGGTTTAATTAATAGTTAATTAAGTTAAGGGAAATAAATGATACATTTCTGAAATTATTTAGGTATATTGAATTTATTATTAATAGTATTATGAAATATCTAGTCAAAAGAATTGATAAATTGAAAATATACGACACGATATAAATAAAAGTGCCTAAATGTTTGGGGGTGGGGTTTTTGTTGAACAAATAATAATAATAATAATTAGAAGTTAAATGCACAGTTTAGCGCTGGAATAGGTTTAATTATCTTAAAACAGGACAAAGAATCTGGCAACCTGAGCAAATTCCATCCGATTGGAGTGAAAATCAAAATTTTCGTCTGATAATTCCCTCAGGTTTGCTTTTCAATTTGCAATTGTAATAATTTTTGATTGTGTTCTAGTCGAAAAACTGACGACAGATCTTTGAGCGAAACATGCTAAGCGAATCAAAAGAATTAATCGAAGGGTTAAAAAAAACCAGCAATAGTTTGTTGAGTTTAACCATGAAAATGAGATTTTCAACAATGCCACTGCTGCAAAAAAATATCCTCCATATGGGGAAGGTTTTTTGTCATTGCTGTCGTTTTCCCTCCTTTGAACTTCCTTCGATGGCAATTTTGAAGCACTTTTATTATTGATACAGTTCAATAGGGGAGGAGAGAGAGCGTCTAACACACTCATTTAACCCAATAGGGTCACACAAATCCGTTGACCTTTTGCAACGCGGAGAAGTGTGTGCAGACTGTGTGAATTTTCCTCTCAGTGTGCGGCCTCTTTAATATTTTAGCAGGAGCTATTATAGCGAAAGTTTTCCATATAGACAATTTTCTGATATCTCCGGCACAGGAAAAAGAGTGGCTCTTTGTAGTCTCTCGCTCCTGCAAGTTTTCCCCCGCGCTTTTTTTCTGACTCTCGTCCGTGTATCGATTTTTGAGATTATATTCGCACCGTCCTTCTTGTCTCTCCTCTCCGGGTTCACGATTTTCTCGTGGCTTTTTTTGCCTCCCTCCTTTTTGGCTCATTTTATTCTCTTTTCCCAAACACACCCCATGGGCAAAGTTCTTATCTTCAGCACAATTTTTTGCCGCCTCCCTTACAATTCTCTCGCTCTCTCTCCCTCTCACTCTATCCCGACGTCCCAAATCTTGGATGGCTCTTTTTGTGCCCCCCCGAACTGGCTGAAAATCATTCTTCTCCGTTCCTTTTGCAGAATTTTCCACCGCAGACAATCTGGGGGTGGTCAGACTGAGGCGAATTGCTGAGCAGGAAAACACCGTTGAGCAGTGCGCACAGGGAGACTCCTTCCTCTCTCTTCCGGCTGATCTGGGCATCTGTGCAGAATGCTGGCGCAGCAGTACTGCCTCAAGTGGAAGTATCACCACACGAATCTGCAGACCATGTTCTCGCAGCTGCTCGATCGCGGCTGCTTCTGCGACGTGACGCTGGCGTGCGAGGGACAGACACTGAAGGCCCACCGAGTGGTCCTGTGCGCCTGCAGCACCTACTTCGACGCCATCCTCACCAACTGCGGCATCGAGAAGGATCCCATCGTCATCATGAAGGACGCCAAGTTTGCCGACATCAAATGCCTCATTGAGTTCATGTACAAAGGCGAAATCAATGTTGAGCACGTGAGCGAATGCACTTCCTAAACACACATTCCAGAACATAGTTCAACATCCTATCTTTTGCAGGCAAATCTGGCGTCACTGCTGAAGACGGCGGAGGAGCTGAAGATCAAAGGCCTGGCGGAAGTGTCGTGGCGCGAGGACGAAGGTGCGGCGGAGCCAAAAGTAGAAGGACGATCCAGTGACCCGAGCAAACCCACCCACCACAGTGACACGGCGGAGAGCCACCAGAGCGAGAGCAACAGCGCCCAGATGCCCTTCCTCACGCCGCTGCGCTACCACCAGCAGAACGGGAAGAACAACGGACTGCCGGCGAAGAGGAAACGCGGCCGTCCGCCGCTGGATGGCGAGTTCGAGAACTACAGCACGCCCAAGATTTCCCACGTCGAGAGCCACGCGTCCGGCGGCTACGCTGACAGTTCCCACCTCGTCTCCGTAATGATGGACGAGGACAATTCCAAGGATCTCATGTCGCACAGCTATCAGGATAACGACGGCGCGCTGACGTCACAAATTGTAAGAATCCCCGCAAAGTTCGCATATTTATTCGCTCGCCATGTCAACATCAAATTGCACCCATTGCATAAGTTCATAAATGCACCTACTAATCGATGCAGAACCTATATTGCTTTTTTGCCACTGAATCAATTCATAAACTCTGTATTGGGCATTAGAGCGGAGCGGAGTAGAGAAGAGCAGAGCAGTTTTGGGCACTCTCATTCTGCAAATCTGGCGAAAAAAGGGAATTTCGTCATTTTGAAAAGGAAAACAGCGATTTTCCTTATTTTCTCAATCCTTATGGGTTAGATGGGTTTTAAATTTCAGTACGTTATAGCTGAGATTAAGACATTTCCAATGAATTTACAATTGATTCCGGGAAATTGAACTTCTAATGCAAGTTATGAATATGTAAACGTGATTCGTTTGTCTGTCCAGAAAGAAATACGAAGGATTTTGTTACATTTTCACACTTTGGAAGGTTGGTTCCGAAGCTGCCCAGCTCTGCTCTAACTAATTTCAGTTCATACTCTGCTTTTTGTGTTGATTTTTGTACGAAAAACTTTTACGAAAATCAATGCATGGCAACATTACAGAATAGTGTAACTCTTTTTTGGATGCTCTTTCGCCACAAACCCTTAGCAATTTGGAGTAAAAAGCACTTTGGCACAGTTTGGCTGCAAGTAAAATGGCCGTTACATCTTATTTATTGATTTTTCCTATCGTTTTTGCGACGAGAGATCAAGAAAATCCTGTAACATTTGGCTCCTTGCCGACCTGCAAATTTGGACAATGTAATTCGGTGTAATTGTCTGTTTTGCCTGTATCTGTGCAGGACTACGAGGACGAAGCTCCCATGGGAGCGAATTTGGTGCCAAAAAAGGAGAGGCCAGAGACTCCTGCGGACTACGTGGTGCCAGGCGACGGTGAGATGGACGACGAGGCTGAGGAGGATGACGATGATGACGAATCAGTTCCAAATAGTCCCGGCGGCAGCGGAAATTCCCATCTGCACGTGACACTGACCGCCCAGGAGCGGGCAGAGTGGCGGGATGTGATAAAGATGAGCGAGTATCTGAAGCAGGGCAGACGGCAGCAGTTCTGGGAGGAAACGTTCACGAAGCGTGTCATGGATGCAATCAAATCAAAGAACTTGGAAATGAAGAAAGCCGCACAATTGCTAGGCGTCTCATATGGAACACTCTACGGACGGTATCGTGAGACTTACGGATGCCTGAAGCATCCCTACAGGTAGGTGGGCAAGGATCCGTCCTACTCTCTTCTCTCTCTCTCTCTCTGTGACTGTCGACTGGAATATCTCTTCTGAATGTGTATACTTGCATTTGCGATGATCATTAATGAAAGCATAAATGTCTAAACAGAAATCTTTAATCAGGGGACCTTTCACGAGAATGATAGATATGTGGCAACATGTTGAACAAGGAACAGCAGATATTATAGGCATTTTACAGAGAACTATGCCACGAACTAGCACACCTACGGAATTTCTCATCTCAAATCAAGCATCAACACCCAAGCTATTAGACCCAAAACAGCAGGTTTGTGGTCACAATTGTCTTGGACGATAAGTTCTTCCTAATATCGACATTTATCGACATGAATTGCCTGCAATTTTCATTTTTTAACACAATTTGAAGGGAAAAAATGACTGATTAAGCAGTAATTAGTCCTTAAACTATCGAATTTAGACTATTTTCCCCATTAAATTGTGTTAAAAAAGGAAAATATGCGCTTTTCGCATCGATAAGTGTCGGTATTGGGAACAACTTATCGACATTTCAACGTATAAAAGGACAGGCGCGTCAGACCGAAACTGGACTAACCAATTTCTGTCTTCATTGCAGCTCCAAATGCACGAACTGAATTCAACATTTGACCAACATGGAGAGTAAAAAAATTCCCCCCTAAATCTTTCTTATTACTTTTCACAATAGGTAACCTTAGCATAAAATATACTTAAACAAAAAAATGAATAATTGAAATAAAACAAAACAATTGACTGATCAACAAAAAGAAAAGATAAACAAAAGAGAAGAACACGTTGTCTTAGCATTGAGGCGAGTATTTTTAATAAATTACAATTACAACAAAAGTATTTTGTAGAAAAGAGTAAAACAAAGAGAACAATTTGTAAATAGGATTAAATCTATTATAAGTAATTTAAATGATTTTTATTTTCCTTCTTTTCTTGACTTGGAGGAGAAGGAGAGGAAAATATTGAAGCAACTTAGTTGGAAATAGAAATTGAGAGAAAAGAAGAAGAAAAAATATTTAATAGAAGTTATTACGGAAATATGAATTATATAATTAGTGTATACTCGCTAAATTTAATCATGAAATTTTGATAGTTTTTTCTTCCTATGTTTTCATAGACGTAAATCTAATTTATTTTTCAATTAGTTCTGTTTTTTATTTAGTGAATTTCACAATAAAATATATATGATACTGAAGGAAAAGACCCTCGTTTTTTTGCTGCGCTCCAAAGACCACTTTTTCGCGCCGTGTTTTACGACAAGCGCACGTGTGGCGGATTTTGACAAGCTTGACGTGTGCGCGCTTGTTTTGTGTGTGTGTTTTTCTCCTTCCCGGAAAAGAGTCGAAATATGGACGATTTTCGCAAAAACGAGTGGAATTTGGTGGAAATTAGCGGAGATGAGAAGCAGCAGATGATAAAATACGTCGTTAACGATGAATCTGTGACTTGCCTGGTGTGTGATATGATTTCAATGAAAAGTGAATCTGTGTCAAGAACAGAACTTTTTGCTCGAGCAAAGGTAACGATTTCGTTGTTTTTTCACGTTGATTTATACCTTTGAGTCATGAATGAGACATAACTTGAGCTTTTAGTGAAGATATCATTGACATTAAAGGAGAAATTTGTGAAAAATCAGAGTATGTTTCCACATAACCTCACTTTGTGGTGTTTTGTGAAGAGAAGATGGGATAAACTTTACCTAATTGAATTCTGTGCTTTTCAAAATGTACATTACTCACCCATTCGACTAGAGATAAGTTGTGATTCATCCTGAAAAGAAGCAAAAAAAGAGCAAAGAAATGTAAACAAAAACAGTGCGGCGAAAAACCGGCAGAAAAATTCTTTATGTCTGCAGCGCCTCTGGTGTGAAACACAAACACTAAAAGCTTTCTTTTGTATTTCACAGTTGAAGAATACAAATCTACAGTTGGAGAATGAGAAAATTCTGAATTTAATCACAAAAACAAAGGCTTCAGAATACAAATTGGAGGAGAATTCAATCCTGAACGTCAAATACTACATTTCCAGATATCCTTATCGATTTTCATGGAATCTCTCGCAGAGCAACACTGAGGAGTTCATGAAATTCTTCACAGCTCCTCTTTTGTGCTCCTTGAAGACGTCCGAGGCGAGAATTGAGCAACTGCAGGATCTCTTGAAGAGGAAGGATGAGGAAATTGCCGGATACAAACTATCAGGAGCGACTTTAGTGCGAAGTATTGAATTAATTGCAATTATTGCAATGCCTAGATTTTATTTATGATCCCTTTTTTGCAGAACATCTTGAGACTTCGCCATTTGATCCTGATGCCTTTGATGGCGCAAATGATTTCTCCTTCGTGGGAAATCACAGTATTGCCGAAATTTATGGCTTTTGTGGGGTTTCTCAAATCCCTGTCGCAGTGACTGAGGACAAATCACCGAAAGCTGCCAAAGCTCCGTCAACAGCAACTTCTCCGAGTGGCTCGAAAATCTCCCCGGCGAGACGCAGTCGAATGATGCAAAATCTCAAGCGACTCCACGATGATAAGGTGCTGTATGACGAGGAGGGCAGCTCACAGGAAACGAGCACAGACGACTGTATCGCCCCGAGTGAGGCTGAGACTCAAGCAACGAATCCCAAGATCCGCAAGCGACTCAACCTTTAGGCGCGAGAAGAGATGGTATCGGGAAAATTACTCACTCGTGCGCCAATAAATTCGACTTTGGCTGAAGAGTGAGAATAGTTCTAGTTTGGTTCTGGCGCGCGAGCGAATCAGGTCGCATTGGAGGAATTGCGTGTGAGAATGCATAAAGGAGATCTGGTGAAGTTGATCCTGGTGCTGTGCACTGTCTCGCCACTGGGCACTGCGCAGTACTGCAATAGGGACATAAAGTGAGAGGCTTTCATGTTGATTCCAGAGGGTGAGATGAATAAATTGTATTTATTGAATTACTCTGCAGAGTTTGTGATGTGCAGAAGGAGACTATTGACTATGTCACGAGAGAATCGTACCAGGACAAGTGTCCTTTCCTGACTGAATACAAGGCGTGTGTGTTCTGGAGGAATGTCACGAAGCAGAAAACAGAGGAGAAAATCGTCCACAAGGTGGAAACAATTGTGACTTGTTGCCCAGGATATTCTCTATTCGCCGACAAATGCATTCCTCACTGCGAAGATCCGTGCATTAACGGCGTTTGCACGGCGCCAGGAGTTTGTCACTGTAATTCAGGATATGCGAAATCTACTGAAAAGGACCACATTTGCCATCCCGTCTGCTCTGACTGTGTCAATGGTCAATGTGTAGCTCCGGAGAGTTGCGAGTGTTACTCAGGATACGCCAAGAACTTCAACTCGTCCGTCTGCGAGCCTTTCTGCGGCGACAGCGATTGCGGTTCGGGGATCTGCAGGGAGCCTTTCAACTGCCAATGCCACCCTGGATTCGAGAAAGACGATCAGGGAATCTGCACTGTCCAATCTTGTCAGGAAGACTGCAAGGGCGGACGATGCGCCAACGGAGAGTGCGAATGTCCCAGCGGAGCTTCTTGGGACTTAAACGAGTCTGCGTGCGTCTGCACGAGTCCTTCGGACGACTTCACGGTTTCCACGTCAAATTCCAACGACTATGAATATACAGAGATGATTCCAGGGGATGAAAATGCTGCAAATTTCATCATTGCGACCCTCGTGGCAATCATAATTCTCTTGGCAACGACAATTATCAGCATCCTAGTCATTGTGTGGTACAAAAATTGGAAGAGTGAGTCACAGAATGTGCATTTTTCGCAGTTCAGCAATATTTATCGAATTCCTTTGTTCACAGGCACAGATTATTCATGCTCAATGCGATATCATAGCGACCGAGTTGTGATTCTCACTCCACCCGTTGTCTAAATGAAAAGAAGAACCGCGATTAAGGCTGAGGAATTTGTAAAATTTGTGTTTTGTTAATTATATGTAAACAATGTTATTTTCCACTCTTAAATTTCTATTGCGATGAAAATCCGATTAAACGTGTTTTTTTTAGTTAAATTTGCTGAAAGGGCAGAAAATTAACTTTTCCTTGTTTTGCAGAAAGAAAAGGAATTAAATTATTGAGAAAATAAACGATAATTATGCTACTATTAAAATATTAGGAGTTATTTTGAGCTCTGAGTTGATAACTTTTAGATAATTTCGCCTTATCCTGTTTACTCAGAGAGCAAATCTTTTGCCTATAAAAATAATGATAATCAGCTATAAAATTTATGTACATTTCAATCCTCGCGACTCTAGATAAAGTCGTGCTTAGTGGAATTTATCATTTCGGTCACTGTGTTCCAGTGAGAAGTGTGAGGGTCACACTTTGTTGTGTGCAAAACTCAATCCTGCGGCGGAAGTGGAGCTGATAGTAATCCACATGATTCTCGGCCATATTATGATAATTCATAGTTTCTCTTGCAATTCATCACAGCCTTTGGGCATTCATCATTCGTCTATTGACTCATAAGCTTTAGTGGAATTTGTGGAAGTGCAGCAGAAATGGTGGCGAAAGGGAAAATCGTTGTCCTTTTGGTGCTGATTGGAACAATCTTTGAGTGCTCTGCAAAGTGGTGCAAAGTGACGGAATTGTGAGGTTTTAATTGCGATTACATGAAAATAGCAAGTTCACCATCTCTTCTATTTCTTCAGGGACTATGTTTTGAAAGACGTAACAGTTGATGTGACAAAGTATAAGCAGAGAAGAATCTGGCCATGCCTGAAGAACTGCTTCAAAACCGTTCCTTACACAGTCCAGGAAACACAGCATAAAGTAAGGAGATTCCTTTATTGGAAAAGTTCACATTTCAGCCCGTGTTTTTCCCGCTTTCCTCTTTCAGTGGGTTGCGCAGAACGTGACCAAAGAGGTGTGCTGCGAAGGATACAGTGAGGAAATTGGACAGTGCATAGCAATTTGTGCTCCTTCATGCAAGAATGCAAGATGCGTCGCTCCAAATTCCTGCAAATGCAATTTCGGCTATGAATCCCGGTCGGAAAATGAGTGAGACATGCTCGGATATATTTACAAACCGCCAGAATTACCTGTGATTCTCTCCTTTTCCCTTGAAGATGCGTTCCTCATTGCGAAAACTGTGAATTTGGCACCTGCAAAGCTCCGTTCCTCTGCGTTTGCGATTCGGGATACCAAAGGGAAGTGCTTAACGAGGGGGAAAAGTGCGTTCCAGTGTGCAAAGATGGTTGTCCTTCAGGGAGTTTTTGCTCACAACCAAACATCTGCACGTGTAAGGATAATTTCACAGAGATTTCCGTTGCTGGTCAGAAGAGGTGCATAATTGAGGGAGAAACTGATTCCACAACGCTTAGTACGCAAATCACTGAGAAAGTCACTGAAGAAATCACCGAAGATTCGACAGATTATGCGGAAATCGAGGAAATTCCTGAGGAAGATTTCGAGAATGTGACTTTTTCTGAACAATTGGATGAAGCAGACGTTGATGTGTCTTTGGAAATAGTGTCTGACGATCCTTGGAAGAACTTCCCGCTGAACTCCAACGCGTACGACGAGATAGTAGACGATAAGGCGGATCAGATGGAGGAGAAAGTGCTGCACAGTGTCTTGGGGAGGCTGTGGTACTTTGTTATGGCCGTTGCGGTCATTATATGTGCCATTATAGCTGTAAAATATTACATAGCAATTCAGCAGAGGGAATTCAAAATTCCCCACGATATTCCCACCGATGTTGCCTTTACAGCAAAGGCTTAGATAAAGCCTTTTCATATTGCAATATATTGCATATTATTAAAAAAAAAAAGTAAAATTTCAATTTTCTTTATTGTTATTATTATTATTTTTCTTCTATTTTAAGCCGAAAAGAGCAGAAATTAATTGATTTTTAATACGAATAAGATTTTTAACTACAATTGTGTACACTTTTCTTCACGTGTAAGCAAATAACATTATAAAGAAATTTCTTTGCATTTCATTCTGTGATTATAAAATATCTTTCCATGAAGCATAAGCTTTATGCCAAAACAACTTCGCTTCATTCCACAGAGCAACCGGAGTGTCTCCGCTGTGGAAAATGTGGAAATCACAGCTGTCAGTTGATTGTTTATGTTTACGTGTGTTTTTCGTGCTCCTTAAACTCCTCAAATATCCCCAAAATGTGCGATAGTTCAGGAAAATCTCTCTTCGCCTGGGTAAATACACGACTCTTCTATCTTATTTGAGTATTTGTGCAAAAGTTCTTCGCTTTCTTTCCACTCATAATCAGGGTGCAAATTCTCACGGGCAACTCGCTGTTGGGAAGGAGAGCGAAATGGAAGCTGTGCCGGTAAGAGTGGACACATCCTTTCTGGAGGCGGATGTTAGGCAGATTTGTGGCGGAGGTGGTCACACTTTGATTCTGGACACGACTGGTCAAGTGTACGCGTGCGGATGGAATAACAGAGGCCAATTAGGACTAAATGATGAGGAGAATCGCTCAATTTTCACCAAACTGCCTCAGGAGGTCTTTCGTGGCAGGAAGATCGGGAGCATAGCGTGTGGCTGGGACTCCTCAGCAGCTGTCACAGTTGACGGGGAGCTGTTTATGTGGGGATCTAATCAATTTGGACAGTTTTGCTGGATAAACACAAAAGAATTGAGTGAATCAAACACACCAACGATGATTCCAGCTCCTCAAAGAGTGTCTAAAGTTGCTTTTGGTCTTCGTCATGCCTGCATTCTTACAGAAGACGGTGATTTGTATCTCTCGGGAAAGTCAAAGTGTGTCCCAGAAGGATTTTTAAGGCTCGCCGGAGAGAAGATCACGGACATTTCAACAGGACAGCATCATTTCGTCTATCGCACGATTTCTGGGGCCATTCAGACGAGAGGAGACAACAAATTCAATCAATTAGGAGACGATTCTTTGGAGGAATTCAAGTCGAAAGCTGCTGAATTGAGATGTGGATGGACTCACAGTGGATTCTTGACGAATACTGGAGAGATTTTCTTGTGGGGAAGAAACTCGTATGGACAAATTGGACAGCATTCTGACGCTTCAGTGGCAATTCCCTCACCACTGAGTGTTCAGGAGGAGATCAGAGAGTTTCACTTGGGCTCTGAACACGGGCTCTGTGTGACAAAGAGTGGAGATGTCTTGACTTGGGGATGGAATGAACATGGAAATTGTGGGAATGGCGATACAAGAGATTTGTAAGTAAATTTTATTCCAATTATTTGACTTCAAATTGACGAATTCACTCTTCCTCTTCAAGGTTCAAGCCGCAGAAGGTATCTCTTCCCGGAAAATGTCGAGTGGCAGGAGTTGGAGCTGGTTTTTGCTTCTGCCTTATCACTTGAAACTGTGCCTTTAAATCTAAGAGGCAATATTTTTTTTTACTGAAACAATATAAAGAATATTAAGTGAACTGAAATGGATTTAAATTTGTGCGATGAAATCAAGAGAATTCCCTTCAAGATTGCTTGCGAACTCATGGGTTTTGATGACAAGCAGACCAACGAAATGATGAAGATTGAGGAGAACAAGAAGCTGATTGAGGAAGGACTAAATGATCTCTATTATCTTCTCACTTTTGGCACTCATGAGTCGAATATTCTTGCCAAGTATTGCAACATGATTTCCGAGGATTTATCTTCGAATTCCACAAGAAATTCGTCGCAATTCTACAGAGACTTCATGATGGATTACATGAAATTGGTGAAGTTGTGCATGTCACAGAAGCTCGGCAAAACTGTACAGAGAACAGAGATCAGTAAATTTGCCAGTGCTGCAGAAGATTTCGCTCTGTTCGGCAAGCTTGAGCCTGAAGATCAGGAGATTTTGTATGGGAAAACCAGTTGTGATGAAGCAACTGAGCAGAAGAAATCAACTCCTGAAGCAAGTCAAAGAATTTTCAGCAACAGATTTCCTAGAAATGTTCCGAGAAATGTTGTCTTCATGAATCCTTATCAAGCTTTCATGCCGATTTTCTACAAACCAGCGCCAGTTTTGTGGCCTATGGTTCCCTGCGTGAGGCCACGAATGCCGACAAATGCTCAGTGGATCACCAGAATGGGCAGAAATACAGTGATTCTACCGTCAAGACCAGCACCAATGCAGTTTACGACATCGAAACAAGTGGCTAAAATTGATGATGTGTCCAAGAAGGAAGATTCAGAGGAGAAAAAGAAGGAGTGAATGTTACAATTTTTGTCTCAATTTATTGGAAAATATGTTTAAAAAAAACTTGAAAATGGGCGGAGCTATTCAATGGGCGGGGCTTAGAAGAAATTCCCACTATGAATTTTGTCTCCTTCTCTACTTGTATTTGCGTCGCCACTGAGCCTTCGGCATTAGATGATCTTCTAGCCTTTGTGGGAAAGGTCAGAGAAAATGATACTCGTCGACTTCTAGAGCGTTAGTTTGGAAGACAATGCAAATGATATATTTTAATTTCACATTTAGAGCTCCCATGTTGCATACAAATATGACTATTTAATTGTATTAAAAATGTCACAAAAGATACAAGACATTATTAATCAATGGAACATGCGAGGAATTTAAATATGAATTGATTTCTTTCTCCCAAACGTCTCATGTGCTCTAGATTTATTGTGGAGCAAGAATTTTTCTCCACCATCCACAAATGCCTGGGCAGAATTGCATGAATTAGCTTGTCTTCTACTCCCAATGCTTCACTCCCAGACCGCAATGTCACGAAATTATTTAATGATCTTTTGTTATAAATAAATCGTGTACGTTACCGTGCATTGCTCTGCTGCGACTGTGGCACAAACAGGGTGAGGAAGACATGATTTGTGGGTGAGTTGAGACGGAAGTAATTATTGTGGCTTGTCTCGCGTTGCCTCTCTTGCCGCGGCAATATTGAAGAGGAGAATTCTCCAAACTCAGCAAGAGACTCACCCTGTGAGACACACTTGTTGTATAGATTCGAGTGAAGAATTGGAACAATTTCTTGTTAAACTACGAGAAATCAATTGCAATTGCAGAGCGACAATGTTCAATGTTCCACATAAAGTAACAAATTGCACATATTTTTCCCGGACTCTCGCGAGATTCTCTTGTGAATTTTCAACTTCCTCGGGCGCACGGAGAATTTTGCAAGAAAGCATGAATGTTCTAATCCTCATCATTATTGCCATGACATCTTCAGTTGGATCAATTTGTTGTGTGATGGAGGAGTTCCGAAAATTTTTGCGATCAAATCCCACCTCAATCTCGTTATCCATTGACGGTTCGTGGGAAATGATTGATTGCCCAAGAGTCTCTCAAGCATCTCTGAGACGCTAAGAAACTCACAATTCATTCTGGATACACTACAAGTGCGTGTAGAAAATTTGTAGGCAGTCGATCCATATCTCTCAAAGAGGGTATTCGTTTTGACGAAACTTTAACGCAACTTTGAAGAATCCATTGGTTAGCAATATTTCGAGCGATTCCCACTCAAACAAGCAATGTTAAGCAAAGTGTGTTTTACTCGTTTAATACAATCCTTTGCTATTCTAAATCACACATGAAAGGCTTAAAAATGGCATGTGTGTTAAAAATTCACCACTGATGGTGTTAAAATTTCCCAACTCGTGTTAAAATGAGATTTTTACTTCTAGTTCACACGTGTTGAGACATTTTTTACCGCATGAATGGGCAATTTGCGACTGTGGCTCTAATTTTTAACCATGAACCTGAAAGATATTTGCAGTAATTTTTTTTATTGAGTATTCACAAGGTTCTTCTTTATCCCTGTTATCCAAGGTGGTGAATTTCAACGCTAGCGTCCTCTTAATATTATAACACACAATCTGAAATTAAACATTTCTCGGTTTTAGTGAGAATTGCTCCAAAAATCAGTAAATTTTCAGCAGGCTTTGTAGGAAAACAAAGGCTTTTTACATTAATTTTACGGTCTAGATTTCTGACTGTCTAGAAGCTTTCTACCTCACTTTAGTGGGTAACTTACGACAGTCTCTTACTAAATAAATAGCCTCCACTTATCTGTGATCAAGCTTCTTCATCTAATCCTGTTTGTTTTGTATACAATTTCTCAGCTGAAACTGCGCGATGTTGCTCACTAGACACAAAAGATATTCTATTTGCTGTTCTTAATTTTATCAGCCATTTCTCATGCGATCGCCGGAGCAATATTAATTATGGGATGTTTTTTTCCACCGCGATCTGATGGCGATTCTGATGCGGCAGAAGAAGTGGTACATGGAAGATTGCCCCGTCAAAGGCACCGGACAGTGTGCTTTCCATTGGTGGAGTTGAGATTGATTAATGAAAATGGCAAGTGAAAGAACAAATAGATCGTCATGATGTTGTTCTTTTCCTCACACCTCTTCCACTGTTGTTCCGCGCGTATGAAATTTCAATGAAGATTAATTGATTCAATCAGCTGAAATTATCCGCATATATGCGACTGTGTCCAATGTGCGGAGGTGGTGTGAAAACAAACATTATCGGATTTCCATCGTCAATCCGCGAGGCACAAAACCTCAAATGATCGGGCGTTGAATGACAATTTGAGATCAGTGATTTTTCCAACAATTACGCGATATGACATGAAACTATGGGGAGAGCGAGAGAGAGAAACACACCTTGGTTTGATTGAAATCAGCCGTGAAAGAATGGTGATTTGCGCGGCAGAGGTTCATTTGCTGAAAGAGGTCAATTCCTCCGTGGCGACAGTGAATCAGAAGAGAACTCACGGCGCAATTCGATCGCACCGAGACTCTCCGCACCCCACGTCCACCCTATTTCACCATGGCGGGCTCTTCTAATTGCCCCACGCTTAATTAAACTCAATAGTTAATAAATCTGACGTGGAGACCCATTGTTTAGATGAATTACCATTCAGCGACACTTTTCTTGGCTCGCGAAACGAATCAACATTGTGCCTTATTGGCTCTGCCCGGCCCCAATTAAGTACTCTGTGTACTGAAGTGGATGTTATTGCTTCTTTCAAATGAATTGGATGAGCGGCGCGTCACCGCCGAAATTCACTCAAAACAGCCAACCTGAACAGAAATAATGAGTAATAATAAAATGAATATCAACCTTCTTGATTTGTGTCTTTCAATGCTTAGTCAAGTGGCAAAAGACTTGTGCTCGCTCGCCAGCGAAAGAACAGCTATATGACAGTGCCAAGGGGGAGATAGTGCAGTCAGAAGTGGTGTACAGATCAGCGAAAGTGTTCAAATCTTACAATATTCCTTACCTGTGCTTCTTTCGCTGAAAAATTAACGTAATTCTTCGGATTTCATTCGTTCTTACGCAAAAATAATCGTAATAATGCTTTTTTAGGTTATGTAATGGATCAAGGATACATTTAATGAAATGATTCGAATTCTAGCACACAATTCTTGTGCTGAAGTCGGAAAAATCGCAAGTCATGAACAGAATTCAGCGTTATCTGCAATAAACATTACATTTCAGAACCTTTGATGCCAAGGAACAATGCAAATTGTATTAAGTTCGAATATAACCTCAAAAATGTTTATTTGGACTCGGAAAATGTTTATTTAGAAAACTTTCTAAGCAATTTTGACTCTGAATCATGAATTTTAAGTTCATTGCCAAAGTATAAATGAAGTTTTTTTTATCTAGAAAGCTTTCAAACAGAATCTTTGAAGATTTCTTGGTGATATTTTGAGGTTATGGTCGAAAAAGACACCCAAAACAGCGGTTTTAAGTAAATTCTTACAGAAATATTAGATGAGAAATAGTGTGAAAACTGTCTCAGAGTTTCAAATGTCTGGCATATGAATGTGTTAAGAAGCGGAGTACAGATTTATGACATATTATCTCCCCCTTGAGCAGTGCTTGGAGTCATTCTATCATTCAACTCATATGGGAAATGCCGTCATGTGAGACCTCATTTCGAGAGCTTCGCCTCCACCTTCATTTCCGCCCCGGTCGTTTGTCGCTTGAAGAATCAAAAAGTCGGATGTCGCCGGAGTGGAGGAGATCTCTGGAGGAGAGAAGGCACAAAAGAAGATCTCGCCGTCTCGTGAATCAGTCAGAATTTTTGTGGAGAACCCAACAATCACGCAAGGAGCGGCTCCACGAGCCGCGACCGCAATCGTCGCCATAGAGAGAATATCACCATATTGTCTTGCTCTTGTGAGGCATAAAGTTCTCTTCCTCCCAAGACGCGCCGAAGGAGGGCTGGTGGAGTGCACCAGAAATGCGTCAGCTCGTTTTTTTGATGAATTAATAAAGAGCTAGTGAGGCTTGTGCCTGCCAACAATTAGCTGGAGTCGCTCCGCCAAGCCCCTCACGGAGATTGGGTGATTTGCGTTGGTGGCTTGCGGTGCACCCGCGATCGACACCGCCAAGTGAAGTCAATGTGTGAAATTGGAGTCAGGAAATTACAATTGCAATGTGCCAGCTCAAGCATTGAAATTAGTCCATTGTTTAATCAACGAATATATGTGCTCCTCTTGCGCTCGCACGCCACGAATCGCCGGCCATCGGGGCGCGCAAGGTGAAGCTGGACGGAAGAAGAGGCTTTTCGGATAAAATGTGTCGTCAATTG